GCCACACAAATCCATGGAGTTCCTCCTTGACAAGGAGAACCTGCATTTCGTCAAGGTGAGTCTTCTCCCCTTTCTTCCTCTTAACCTTTTTTTAAGTTACCAGGGTTTTCCCCGAGCCGAGCCAATGTCGTCGTCGATGTTGCTCGAGTTTTTTTTTTTTTCCTCTTTCTCGAAATTCGATCGTTTCCCGATTGATTTTCTTCTTCCTCGACCGGATTTCGAACGTTCGATCGCGAAACGTCCGTGTCGCATCACACGGAGATGATCGCTCGATGATCGTTTGCACGGCTTCCGTCTGTCTACGAAGTATGGTTCTACTTGCTTTTTTTTTTTTTTTTTTTCTTTCCTCGAAGCCTTTTCGAAAGCTTGGAAAATCGGGAGCGTGGATAATTAAATGCTCGTTTCGTTCGATACAATTTTAATATCACGTGAGGTGATTAAGAGCGGTGAAAAATCAGATGTGTGTAGGATAGGATGTAGGTCGATCTTGGATAGCGTTATAGGGAAGAGAAGGGGGGAGAGAGAGAGAGAGAGAGAGAGAGAGACTCTAATGGATGCGTTGAGAACGCGTGAGTTAGCTAATTTTATATTTTTATTTCCTTCCAGAGGGAATATATAATTCATTCTCACGTATTGTAACGGATAATATAAAAGTAAGGCAAACTTAGAAGTGGTTTTGTGGATAGATATAATATCCTTCATCGATCATTTCTCTAAACGTTTGTCTCTTATATATATAGTTATATATATATATATGTATACTAAGTGACACGTGTACGTATATATACCAATTCGTTGCGACGTATTATTTTTCGCGGGTTATTTCGAACAAAGAGCGTTAATTAAACGCTACGTTTCAAAGGATAGTAATAATAATCAGGCTCCTCGTTATTTTTAATACATCAGTCTTCACCGATTTTCGACCGTTCGAATTGCCTCTCTTTAATGTCTATCGAAATATTGTTGTAACGCGTCGTGCTCAAGCGCATCAGAGTGCGCGACGAGAGTACTATAGTATATGCTTCACCTTTGACATTTCGTCGATTAAGTCGGTCTGAAGTGCCGCCGATTTCCGTATCGAGACCGGCCCACAGTTCAAAACAACCGAGACAATGCGATTCTCGATATCTAGCGAGAAACAACTGCTTCCCTTCCATATATATATACCCGGCGCCAGTTTAACATTGAACGTTTTGAAACCTTGAATGTTTAAAAACTGATATTGCGAATAATAACGCATTGTCTCCGCTTATGTCCCCTTGTTGAAATTTCACCTAGACGCTCTTTGAAAATTCTTCGAATCTTTTTCCACGAAACATTAATCGAATGAGAGAATTTATTTCGATTAAATTCTTATCTAAATTGTGTATATATTTATAAAATTTAATTGTTCGAAATTAATAAAATTAATAACTGAATAAATTAAATGTTATTCGAGTTTTATTTTAATAATCGCTTTATTTTCATTTTTGGTTCTAACTTTTTTTTTTTCAACGCCAAGAACGTAGGATATTTTTAATTAAATTTTAGTTTTTTTTTTTAGATCTTTTCTTCTACGAACGATGATTTTTTTTTTTTTTCGAATCTATTTTCGATCTCTCGACCTCCCGGTACATTTCCATTTTCGAACGGTTGGATCCGTAAAGGTGTGGCCAATCGAGGAAAGCAATTTGGCTCTTTGCGGTCGCGCGCGACGGAAATTGAATTTTATGCAGAGAGGCGATATTAATTGACAGGATCGGTTAGATCGGCGTGAATCCAATCGAGCTCAAAAATTTCATGCTCTGCCACTTTTCCGTGTAATATCGTAAATACACCAGGTGTTCCTTACTTTAATTAGTAGATTTGACGATGATGATATTTATATTATATAAGGGAGAGAAGAATTACACAGTTTACGATTAAATAACAAAATTTAGAACGTGTATTTTTCGTAATATTTTTACGAGTATTATTCTGTTTTTAGGCGTGACAGTAGTTTTTTGTGCCTCGAGCTGCCTCGAGCCAACCAATTGCTCTTTTTATGTAATGACGTATCGTGTTTCAAAGTAAGAACGTCCTCTCGAAAGTGTACACTTTTCCAACGGTTTTGGCATTTTTCGAATTATTTTTTCAAAAAGTCTCTCTTGTTTCAACGATTAGTATCGCGTGATTATTTTCTCTTTGATATTTTTTGTTTAATTCACGTGAAAAAACTGTCGATATACATATATCTCGTGACAATCGATAATAAAAGATCGAAATATTTGGATATTACTTACGATGTTTAATTCTAAACTGAAGGATAAATTGAAATAGTTTTACGATAACTTTGTTTATATCGACAATACAAGTTTATAAAATGATATTACGGAAGTATATATAGATATCAGCTATCGTAGAATTGATTAGAAAGAATTAATATCTCGAAGAGTTAATATTAATTTAATTGCTTTTTATAGAGTTGGTATATCGAAGGTTTTATCGATACGTCGTAAAGTATGAGAGCAGATCGTGTAAACATTCGTTATATTCATAAAATGATATAAAAAAAAAAGAAGAATCTTATTTTCAATACGAAACGATAAGTTCGATTCGTTTTAGCGAACTGGAAATATTAAATTCAAATTGTATCAAGGTTATATAAATGTTAAATATGTATCCTCCGCATATTTGAGCATTGAAATTTTATGGAAAAAGATTCATGGAAGGCAGAATTGCTAACCTTCTCATTATTCAAATATATTGATATCGAAACATAAGCATGGAAAGAATTTCGAAATCGTTTGAAAAATCGTTTTCGTTTTGGAAGATACGATTTTTCAGAAGATAAAGTTCGAAACGATTTTTAAAAATTAAGGATATCAAAGATTCGAAAATTTAAAAATTTAAAGAAATTATTTTTTTTTATTTTTCTTTAAAGAAAAAAAATTTAAAGAATTAAAAAAAATTTTTTAAATTCTTTGAAAAAGTTTCAATTCAATTTTATTTTCAATATATTTCACTTTTCTATCGATAATTTACATTATTTCGATTTCTTAATTACATTCAAGAACTTCGAAATTTTAATTTCTCGAACTTAGAACTCATTATAGCACTTTTCCTTTTTCATCGTTTTTCCTCGATTAAGAATATTCGATTTCTCAGAATATTAAAAATTAAAGGCATTCGAAACTTTAAAAATTTTGAAAATTTCGATTTCTCGATTTACATCAGCTTCCAATCGTTTTTCTTCGATCGAGGACAATCGATTTCTCAAAAAAAATAAAAATAGAACATTAAAACAATTTTAAAAAAAATTTCGAAAATTTCGAAACTTTCGACAATTTCCGATATATTTCCATGGATAAATCGTTCTTCGATCGATATATAAAACACGACATCGAGTGCAAAAAGGTCACTATTGTGTATGTATGTGTGTGTATGCGTGTGTATGCAAAGCCCTCGTTTATAATTTATCGGCGGTAGCGCGCCAACTTTTGAATTGCTTGAAACTCGCCCTCCGAGACTCGCCAGATAATCGCAAGATACGTTGCGACATTTGTACTTTACACGCGAGTCTTCTACAATTCGATCCGGAATTTCACATGGATATCGAACGATAATAAAAACTTCAATTTCTCTTATCGACTCGGTCGAGAACAGAGGGAAACTTTCACAATCTCTCGACATTTATCTCCGACTTTCAGCCAACGTTATATCGTAGCATACATCAGCATTACGAATATACCGCTTGTCCTATTCTTCGCCTGTTCCACCTTTCCACGCCTTTCCCCCATTCGCGATTCGCGTGAAAAGGCTCGTTATGATCTGTACGGATAAACGTTTTCGAACGTACGTATCGATGTAATTTTTTTCACCATAGGGGACCAAAAATTTGTTTGACGCGATACGGAAAGAGATATTATTTTATTTCTTGCAATTAAACCATTATTACTCGTCTGCTTGTTAAATAAGATTATTGGAAATATTCGATTTATAAATTTATATTTTTTATATTTATTTTACAAACTTTGTAACTAATTTTCGTGATTAATTCGCGAATATATACTTTGAAATACGTAGATTTACGATGTAGAAAGCGTGTAGATGAAAAATTGGCGGGATATTCAAATATTCGTTTCTATTTGGTATAATTCACATTATATTGCGCAACAAGATACGCTTCTCGGGAAGCGTTGAAACAATTAACGTACGACACCAGATATCGTTCACTATGTTTATTTTAGCAGGTAGACTAAACTGGATATTAATTGCTGTGTGAGACATGATCTAGCATCATAGTGATCATCAAACAGTTAATATTAAGTCGTATAATAATATTAATAATAATGTCTGAGACACGATGATCGATCATGAGAAAGAACGAGTCGAATTCATCGACTAAGTAAGTTAAAACTTATCTTAATCGCTCGAGGAAAAAACTTCTCGAAAATTAATATTTCTCGTTTTTAATATATCTCGCCAGCCGGTCTGTTACGGTTACTCTGGTAAAAAAGACGCATCGATCTAGGGACGATGAGGACAGCCCCGATATAATTACTCCGCGACGACCTCGCTCTCTCGTTGCGCTCGTCTTGCTGGCATCGTTAAGGTCTGCTGCATTTAACAAAAGCGGCCATTCGATTCTCTATTTTGTTAAACGAGCATTCCGATAAACACGTGTACGGAGCGTAGAGACGTCTATGTCCCGTTTCACGATTAATAAATTTCCGATAGTTTTCCATAGATTCGTGCTAATCCTTACGATAAAGCATTTATTTATCTAGGTATTATTTTTTCGATAATTTCGTGTTAATTTCTTTTTGTGTCACATTTCTTGATAAAATATTTATTTATTATTGTTTTATCAATAATTTCTACTATTCGTGATAATCTTTAAAAGAAACATTTTTAATGATAAAATATTTATTTATCATTGTTCAAGGCATAATTTCTATGATTCCTGGTAAAATATTTATTATTATTGTTTCTATGATTGGTAATCTTTTTATCGTATTATTCTCTTGATAAAATATTTATTTATCATTATAATTAACAAGACTCGTGATATCAATTGATCTTCAATTTGTCGCA